GAGAACCTGATGCCAGGGGCTTAAGTGGAAAGCAAATGTTTTGAGAATGATGAGGGCAATGAATGTACAAATGTGCTTTACACAATTGATGTACATATGGATTGTGACAAGAGTCGTATGAGCCCCTAATCAAATGATTAAAAAATAAAAAAATAAAAAAAATGTTGTCATTGCTAAAATAAAAAAAGTGGGTGGAGCGAGCCCATGGGCCGCTCTGCAAGAGGAAGGCAGGGCACTTTGCTTCTCTGGAGGGAACAGCCTTGGACATCTGAGGCGCACGTCTGTCTGCCCGATGGGCTGCTATAGGCTAGACTGGAAAGCAGTCGCTGCTCAGATGCAAGGGGCTGTCTCCCCTCTCAGGGGGTCCTCTACTGCATTCCACCAAAACACTCCAAACTCAATGCCACTGGGTCGATTCTACCTCTCAGGGACCCTGGAGGGCAGGGTGGAACTGTCCCTGGGGGTTCTGAGGCCATGAAGCCTCATGGGAACCGACAGCCTCATCTTGTTCCTGTGGAGCAGCGGAACTGCTGAGACTGGTTAGTGAGCAACCAGCCCCGTGCATGATGCACTATGTCCCTGGGCCTCACCGCCTTCCGCGCCCCCAGCCCCTCATCACCTGTTTGCTCTTCCGTGACTGCTGTAAGGACAGGCTCAGCAGCCTGTCCGCTGCTATCTCCATGTAGAAGGGGTTGAGAATCCGAATCTGTTTGGGGTTCACATCCCAGATGAGGGGAGGCTGTTTCCAGAAACCCTTTCTCACCTAGGGGAGACGGGGTGGGGATGGAGAGATGGGGTGAAGACCTCTCTCTGATGTCCCGTCTGGTGGTCCTAAGGCATGCGGAAGTGAAAGGGCAGGGAGGTGGCGGCCCAGACCCAAGAAAGGAAGAGACCAGAGAAGAAAGGGCACCCCCTGAGGGAAGCCAAGTGACAAGGCCATGGTGTGTGGTTTGACCATTCCCCACCACCAAGGCTAGCCCAACTAGAGCGGGTGTGAGGTAGGCTCTTTGGACACTTGGCAAACATGCCAGAGCAGTCAAGGTTCTCATTTTGTGTCCCTGGGCGGTCAGTGCCTGCCCACCTCCCACGGGCACCAGGAAGCTGTGCAGAGCTCGGACGTTGGCGGGGACACTCGGGCAGTCCTGGGAGCTTGTTTCCACCAGCTCTTTGGGGAAGCGCAGGGCAGATGTGAAACGTGCAATGCGAACGCAGTATGTGTCCCCGGCCACCCGCCCCGTGAATCCACCAGCCCCACACTTGCCCGCTTCTTGTCACTCAGGATGGTCTCGATCCAGTGGAAGTCCATTGCCTTAAAGGCCACCAGGACCAGGAGCGTGTCTGGGTTATTCTCCACTTTGGGGTCGAAATGGGCGGATTCAGGGTAGAAGAGGCGCATGGTGGTCTTAGAGCCCACGTCGCCCTCGTAGCCAGCCACTGGGGCGTTGTTCAATCTGGAGGCGGGGAGGGGGCTCCAGTCATCCAGAGCATCCGAGAGCCTGCCCACTGCCCAGACCCCAAACAGCCCCCAGGCGGAAGAGAGCAAAGCAGCCATACAGACCTGATGACCACGTCATACTTGTTAATGGCTTCTCCCAGTGAGCTGTTCCGTAGCCGGTGCCCATTCCCCACCACCACACAGCGGCGGCACTTCAGGCTGTCAGGGGAGAGGTGGCAGAAGGCTCAGGGGCAACCCCTGCTCCACTGAACTCCCACTGTCCTGAACCTGTCTGCAGGCTTCCCCAGGTACCCCTCAACCTCTGCTCCCCAAAGACCAGGGAGCTCCAAGTGCCCCACAAGTGGTCGTGCTCGCTTTGTGGGCCTGGACTTCAAGGGAAGGGGGAAACCGAGGCGCAGGGGAGAGCGAAGGCGAAGAAGGCAGGCACAGGGCAGGATCACCGAGGCCCGCCTGTTCCGAGCTGTCTGCCTGCTGCCTCAGGAACGCTCCCAGCAGCCTCTAGCTGCTCCTGCACCCACATGTCCAGGCTGTGTTGCCATGGAGATGGCTATACCTGGATCCCTGGAGATGGGCAGACTGAGAAGGGGGGCCAACATTGGCCACAGGGGACTCAAGACAAGGTGGCCCCCAGGACAGGGACTGAGCCCTGACTCTCACGCTGGGCAGCAAGAGCAGGCTGGCAAGCGCCGGGGGTGGGGATGGGTTTTCTTACCTCTGGATGCTCTCGGGCATGGTGTGACTGGTGATGGCTAAGACGCGGAGGAGCAGGTCTTCTGCACAGAGCAAGAGATAAGCAGATAGCAACGGTGGCCACGGCGGGCGTCCAAAGGCTGCCCCACCCCGCCATCGTGCCCAAGAGGCTCAGCTAGTGCCTTCCTGCCTGCCCTGCCCCAGGACCTGCCCTGCGTGTGGTTCACAGCAGGCACTGAGACCACGAGAGCAGGAAGCAGCATGCTCAAGGGTGAGCCACCATTCCTGCTCAGCCAGCGGACACTTACCGCTCCCCTTGATCCCATAGGGCAGCTCATAGGCAGAAGGTGTCTTGACCCAGAAAAAGTCCTTCAGCTGGAGGAAAATGGGCTGATTTCGGGTGTAGCTGCACAGGGCCAGAGCAGGGTGGAGAAGGGATTAGTTCTGACGCCAGAAGCAGGGCCAAGCCACTGACTAACAGGTATCCATAGCCAGGCACCTCCTGCTCCTCCTTGGCTTCACCCAGTCCGAAACCCCTAACTCGACCTACTCAACACTGAGACACAAGCCCCAGAAGCCCCTCAATCCCAGCCCACCCAAGCTCTGACCCCGCCCGCCCGGCCTCTGTCCTCACTTACTTGCCAAAGATCTGAGAAGCCTTCCTCTCGGCCTCGCCCTGGAGGCAAGGCTCCCTCTTCTCTGGGATGGGAAAGTAAAAGCTGGAGAGGGAGAGAGCAGGCTAGTCAGCCCTCGGCGGCCCAGCAGCACAAGGTTCCAAGATGCTGGGGAGGGACGGATGGGCGAAGGGAGGAAGGTGCTGGAGGGAGGGACGGAGGGAGGGACGGCGGGAGGAAGGCTGGGGCTGATTCTGCTTGCGAGACGGATCATCCCCACCCAAGATGCACTTGGAAACCAAGTAACTGAGCATCCTCCGCTCTTCTTTCACGTACACCTTTGGGTGAGGGCCGGGGGAGCCACCACAGAGCCCACCATCCAGGCTTGGCTTCCCTTCCCTGCACGGACTCGCCGACCAAGAGCTGAAGAGGAGAGGCTATGCCCCAGCTCTCTCCTCCTCCTGTCCTCGTGGCCCATGGGGGCCCCCACCCCATCCCTGAAAAGAAGCGCTGAAGGTAGAAGATGGACTCACAGTTCAATGTACCTGTCTTCTCGGGAGATGGAGTACCACACCATGACGATCAGGACCAGCACCAGCATGGCCAGGAGCTTCCAGCCTGCAGGACACATGCACAGAGGAGCTAGAGAGAGACACAGCCAGGGATAGTGTGGTCCACCACCTTCTCGCCGCCTGCCACCCTGCTCCTCCAACCCCCAACCCAAGGAGACACAGCCCTGGGCCTGCCCTGGCTCTAGCTTTTGAGCACAGAGGTTAGACCTGAGTGCTCCCTGCTCCTCCACAGGAAAGAGCCGGGTTGCTGACTCCACGTTTGTTATTCGAGCCCACTCAAGACTACTACTTCAGGAGGAGCCCTACACCAGGGAGGGGGAGCACGGGGACCATACTCACGGGACTTGCCGATCATGTTTTTCAGTGGGTGGCTCGGGTCCTGGGGAGAGCTGTCATCCTGGCTGCCTCCGGCCACCTAGGAGGACAGAGGCACAGGTGTGGGTCTGGTTGTTTCCGCAGACACTCCTGCCTCGACACTGAGCAGACCCAGCCCAGGGACCACCCTCCCTCCTCCAAAGAGCACGAGTGCTGCCCCCCCCCCTCACCCGGCAGGCATGTGTCCAGAGAGACCTTGCACATCCTGATGGCCTCCTGCCCCTTCGAAGACAGCATTCAGGAGGACCCAGGGCATCTCAAGGCAGAAGTGGAGCCAGGGTTCACCTCACAGGGATGCGCTTCATGCTCATTCCAGCACCTCTGGCTGGTCCCCTCACCCGACTTCCCTCCCCATGTTGACTTAGGAAGGGCCATCTTCTTATACTTTCCCCCCAAAAAATGTTCAACCAAGGGCTTACAATTTTTCCCAAGTAAGACTACCTCTTCCCTACTGTCCAAGTCGGCAGAGCCTGGTCTGGACACCACCCATCTCTCCATCATCAATCCCACACTACTCCAGTCAAATCAGTCCGTACAGGCCAGTAACGAGGAGGGGATGACGGTGGGGCAACAAGGTCCCTGGGCTTCCTCTAGCCCAGCGGTTCTCAACCTTCCCCAGGCCGCCACCCTTTAATACAGTTCCTCATGTTGGTGATGACCCCCAAGAAGTATTTTCATTGCTACTTCATAACTGTAATTTTGCTACTGGCATGAATCATAATGTAAATATCTGATATGCAGGATGTCTTTTCATTGTTACAAACTGAACATAACGAAAGCATAGTAATTAATCACAAAACAATATGTAATTATAGATTGTGAAATATCTATTTCTAATTTCAAATAAATGAAATTTTGTCTTGAAGCTTGGTGTAGCATGGGTAACAGTCTTCACGCCGGGGACTCAGATGTGGGCAGATCTGCATGTGGGCGGACCCGCCTGAACACAGACAGAGCCTGAACACAGACAGAGGAGCGGTGTCTCGGTTCCTAGGACCATCAGAAATATGTGTTTTCCCATGGTCTTAGGAAACCCCTGTGAAAGGGTTGTTCGACCCCCAAAGGGGTCACGACCCACAGGTTGAGAAGCGCTGCTCTAACCCTTTCAGACGCTGGCTAATGGCAAACACCCACGGGTGTGGAGAAAAAGAAACGTGGGAAGGATATTTGGATGGGGGCGGGATGGGAACCCCCTTTCAGGTAGGAACAGGTGGAAGAGTTACTCCACAACACAGCAACCGGCAGAGAAGTTTCTAACCACGTCCGACTCTGCCAAGGGCATGCTGCCGACTCACCAGGGAAGAGATTTCTACAGCCGCCTCCAGCCACGCCGCGAGGCAGCCAGACCAAAACACCACCTCGCCTTCCGTCTACACCAAATTACTACCCAAGTGAGCCTGATCAAAAGAACCATCCGGGCCACTTCCAAAACCACAGATGCCCACGCCCTTCCCTGGCCGCTGACCCATCAGCCCGGGGCAGGAGCTATGGCAGGGCCCCGCGGTCTCACCACAGCCCAGGTCATTCGTTAGCCGGAAGTTGCTGATGCTCCTGCTCTCTGGGGAAAACAAAGCCAGCCCTTAAGATCCCTTCGCAGGAGGTCGCAGTGCATTGCCGTTGCTGTTAGATGCCGCTGGGTTGGTTCCGATCCACAGCGATCCTGTACACAACAGAGCCACCCACTGCCTGGTCTGGGACCATCCTCACCACTGTCATGGCTTGGTCCACCGTACAAGCCGCGGTTTCAAGCTACCTGTCGAGGGTCTAAGTAGGATGTCCTTCTCCAGGGACCGGGGCTTCTTGGGAATAAGTCCGAAGTCTGAGAATCCAAGTCTGGCCATCATCTCGTCCGTGGGGCATTCCCGCTGCACTCCTCGTGAGTCAGATCGATTCATTCTGGAAAATAATGCTGGGGAGGCACGCCTCAGTCCTCAAGGTGACACCTGTCCTTGGCCACAATGTCAAGGTGTCCTTTACAGCAGATTTGCCCAGTGCCAGACCTTATTTAATTTCTTGACTGTTGCTTCTGTGACTATTAACTGTGGGTCCAGGGAAATGCAATCCGTGACTTGAACCTTCTTTCTGTGGGTCATGGGGCTGCTTATTGGTCCAGTTGTGACGATTCTGGTCTTTTTTACACTGAGTTGCAATCCACACTGAAGGATGCAATCTTTGATCTTTGTCACAAGTGCTTCACATCCTCCTCACTTTCAGCAAGCAAGGTGTGTCATCTGCATATCGCAGATTGTTAATAAGCCATCCTCCAGCCCCAATGTCAATCGTTCTTCACAGAGCCCAAATTCTCAGATTATCCACGCAACACAGAAATGGTGAGAGGGTATAACCGTGATGCACACCTTTCCTGATTTTAAACCATGCAATCTGCCCTTGTTCAGTTTGCACAACTGCCTCTTGGTCTATGTAGTTTCCAAATTAGCACAATGAAGTATTCTGGGACTCCCAGTCTTCACGGCATTTTCCCTAATTTGTTAAGATCAATGCACTTAGATGCCTTTGCACATCCAACAAAAACACAGGCAAACGTCTTTCTGGTATTTTCTGCTTTCGGTCAAGCTCCAGCTGACAGCTTGCTTGCATTTCTGGCAGCTCCTTGTCTAGGTACCGCTGCAACCACTTTTTCATTATCTCCAGCAAAAGGTGACTGGCATATGATATGGACGGACATGGTTCGACAATCTCTGCGCTCGGTTGGGTCTCCTTTCTTGGGAAGGGATACAACTGTGGATCTCTTCCAGTTGTTTGGCCAGCTAGCAGCTGTCTTGTGAATTTCTCAGATGAGTGAGAACCACTGAGCATTGAATTTGTTTATTGAAATGTCTTCATTGGATTAGGGCCCATCTTCTTTTACAGATCAATTATCTTAAAACAACAGCTGAACACTGTCCTATTACTGAGTCAGTACAGTGCTCCCTAGGGGGCCACTCCCGTGGCTTCTCTGCTGCACAAATACTGAGCAGAGGAGAGAGCAGGGAGGAGAAGCTGGGCAGGACGGGGTGGGGGTGGGAGGTATGTCTCCACGCCCTTAAAGGGGGTAGGATGGCCCTGCCAAGAGAAGAATCGTTCCACATTTGGGACCAGAGACTCAAGTTAAAGACCTGGTAACTTCTAGTAATGTCTCAAACCTCTCTCCCTCCATGGCTGGCTTTCCTCCCCCACCCTCAACACACACACACACCACACACCACCCCCCAGCACCCCCAAGCTCTTGGTGGTTTCACAGCACACGGCCCAGGCTGCCTCCAACACAGCACTGCTCTGGCTCTGCAATTACGTTATTTGCTTACCCACTTGCCTTCGGCCTCTCTCTCTCTCTCTCCCATTAAGTTCTATGAGGGTGCCGGGCAGATAAGTCCTGCTTCCACGTCTAGCCCAAGCACCTAGCAGGTAGGCTGGCCGGTGGCCAGTGTTTATAAAGTACTGAGTGACTGACGACGTGGTGTTTCCATGGGTGAGTCACGTCTACTTCTCTGACTCTGTTTTCTCAGTTATTCAACTGGGAAGTTGGTCTGGTATATCTTTGCTCTCTAAAGTATAATTATTAGTATGATTCAAACGATGTGATGTCCTGGCAAAGGTCAAACTACAGAAACAGAGGAGAGATCCGTGTTTGCAAAGGGTGTGTGCACCTGCGCGCATGCGCTGGGGGGTGAACAGGTGGAACACAGGGAGATTTTTGGTTAGTAAAACTATTCTGGATTGGGCGGCAATGATGAACATGGTGTTATGCACTGGCCAAAACCTATATACTATAAACCATGCCAAGCATGAACCCTAATGTGAACAACAGACTTTGGTTAATAGGATTACTGACCCAACACTAGACCATGAATTGAACAGGTGGAATTGGAACAGGTGAGGCAAGATGTTCATACAGTGAAACCTGTGAAAGCCAGGAGCCTACGCAAGGTGGAAACAGGGCAAGAAGGAAAACTCAAGTGTTGTCCACTAAAAGGAGCAAAGGAAAAGTGGTAAGAGTGCCCCCCGCCTGCTTGCCGAGGGTGGACACTTGACAGGCGGGAACTCCGGTAAGCAGGCACAGCCTGGGCACCTCACAGGGGCAGTTCTACCCTGTCCCGCAGGGTGGCTATGAGTCCAGATGGACTCGATGGGTAGCAGCAAGGGGACACAAAGCTGCACCAGCTCTCCCAGATCTCACGGAAAAGGAAGCAGTCTGTGGGGAGGGGGCACATGGGACATGCTCAGTACTTTTTACAAAGCCACCTGTAAATCTAAAACTGCTTCAAACGCAAAGTCTACTTGGTATATACACACTCATATCTCTACACGCCCTGCCATCGAGCCCGTGCCCACTTCCACAGACCCTACAGAACAGGGAAGAATGGCCCGGTGACTTTCCAAGGCTGTAACTCTTTACAGGATTTGGAAGCCTCGTCTTTGTCCTGTGGAGCAGCTGGGGGTTTCGAACTGCTGGCCTTGTAGTTAGCAGTCTAACTTGTAACCACTATATCTCCAGGGTTCACACACACATACACACACACACACACACACACACACACACACGAGTGTGTATATGGACTCTGATCGGACACACACACCCCAGATCAGAGCACAAGCGTCATCACATGGGAACTTGTTAGAGACAGACTCACAGGCCACTCCTCCACCAGAACCAACTGCCATTGAGCTGCTGCCACGTGTGTCGGCAGAGCTGCACAGGGCAGACAGATCAGAGCACTTCCCATAAGTCCCTGCACCTGCACACTGCTTCCTTTACAGGGACACCTGAGAGAACTGCAGCTGCCTCCTCCTTCCACCTGGCATAAAACGTCCACCCTCCACCGGAGGTGAGGTTTTCAACCGCTGGCTTTTCAGATGTAAGAGACAGACCTTTCCTCGGACAAAGGTGCCTCTCAACAGCCATTAGCATCACCCACAAAATCCCAAACGGCATTCTGACAAGGTCTCCAGTGATTTGCAGGTACACTCAAGGTGGAAAAGCACTGGTGGAGAGAGATGTGGGCCCTTGGCCTTGACTGAAGAGGACACAGGGTGCTGGTA